CCCCCCCGCTAAGTCAATAAAAACTTATCCTTGGGCGAGCATTAAAAACAAAAGATCCCTCTCTTCTTTAAAAACCTACATATGTGCTAAATGTTTTCCTTACTCACCAATCAAAGCACTTCCTTTTTATAATAATAAATCATGTATCACCGTTTTTCTTTAATTATTTCGTAATCTTTCCCAAACCACATCAGCTCGCAGATGTCGGACTCTTCCTGGGTTGTAAATCTCTCCCTTTCCCAGCATTCCAGCGACTCTGCTAATCTCACCTTGTTGATGGCCCTAAATATTGACTTTGTCTTCGCCTCGCTAAATGTACTGACAGCCTTTATCAGGTTGTAAACACATTACCTAATGTATTAATTTATTTCTACTTATTTCTTTGCATCCCTTTGCATCTGTACATTTTAGCACCATATGTCCTAAATTTACAAATAACTAGAGGTAGTCTCTATTTTAACTCTGAGCTGGACTTGTCCTAGGAGTATGTGCAAAAAGTTTCTCAATTATTTCTCACAGAGAAGAATATTTTCTTTTCATCTCTTGGCACAAAAGAGAGAAGACATTTGTCCTGCATGCCTGTTCTATTAGAAAGCGTTCTTTTATCGTAGGAATTTTGTCCCTCATCCGAAAAGAAAAATGCCTTTTGATCTGTAGAATTAAACTGCCTCTGTTCCCCTTGGTTATTTTAAAGACCCGAGGATCACATTATTCAAGATAACTGGGTTGCCTCAAGTTATTCCAAATGTGTATGTCATTACTTATAATGAATTACTTCTGACATCTTCACAATACAAATGAGCAACTTATGTAAGATGTCTGTCTGGCTTACCCTGCCGGTTCCTGGAGTGGAGGCCTCTCCTTGTGGCGGACTTCTTCACGTGGGAATGCTTCATTTGTCATCTTTGAGAAAATCAAAAAGGGTCCAAGGCACAAAAAAACGTTGTCAGATATTACGTGAGGTCCAGCAAGCTGCACGAGCTGTCGTGGGCCTCAGGTTCTTGAACCGAGAGACCTCAAGTATTTTTTGGAGTGTGCTGAAAGAAAATACGGTGCAGGCTGTTCTTTGCTGTCAGCCACTCCTAGAGCTAACAGACTGGAGTGCGGGAAAGGCCTTCCCTAGTTCTTCAGACGCAATCCAGCTCGCTCATTTAGCTCCTTTTGGCAGTCAGTGCTCGGCAGCCAGGAATTATTTATAAATAAAAGGGATCAGTAACACAATAAGAGAAACATACATTTCCAGCAAACTAATTTCTTTATAAAATTAAATGAGTAAGAAACAAATTCCTGAACCTCCCATTAGATTAAGGGTTTATGTGAGCTTTTTTAGGGTTACCCGTGACTTTGTATCAGGATAAATTCAAAAGGTGAATGCCTCAGAAGAGGTTAAGACCTGCCGCTTTGCTCAGGAAACAGGTAATTGTCAATAATACCTCAGGGGAAGGACGGTACAGTTAACTGGGCTCTCCTGGGAAAAACTTTTAGATGCATTTTAACTGATATTTTTGGAAGAAAGCAATAGTCAGACATCGATCGTTAGGGCTTGGTCTCCTTAAAACAAATTCTGCTCCTTTTAGATGGCTCCTTTCTCCTCTGTGGTTTTCTTCTGTTCAAGAGAGAATTATCTCATCAGAGCAGAACAACCTAATGGCCACACGAAAGCACTTAGCAAACGAACTACTTCTGCCGCAAGTGTTCTTGTGTATCGATGAGGCCGGTCCTTCCTCCTCGCGTGCAAGCTTGTATACGTATTTGCATTTTCTAGAACCACTTATAAAGAATTATGTTCTTTCTCAGTCATTCGCTTTATGTTTAATTAAGGCATTTAAAAAATTCTCACCACCTTCTCTTTCGACATTCCAGGAGCCGTCCACATGACGCCAGCATTTCGCTCGGCTTCCCTTGTGTCTTTAAAAACAAGCAAAACTATGCTCTACTCTCAGAATAAATAATAAGGTCACTGTCTTTTAACACAGTTGTTTGCTCTTATACTTTTGCAGCTTCTTCTCAATATAAGAGAAATGTTTATTTCTCTCCATTGCCGCCTCCGATACGGTTTTGTTTTTAAAATTCTTGGAAGAGCCTGAATTCCACCTTCTTTCATGAACTTCCACAGGTCTACAGCCACCGATTGTTGCTGTTTTGCGCTTGAGGTTCTGTCTTGTCTCAGAGTTGAGCTAAGGGGGTCTTCTAGATACGACCAGCTTTAAACCAGTTGTCATTGTTTGTGTTTGCAGATGTTGATGAGTGTCAGCAAGGGAATCTGTGCATCAACGGGCAGTGCAGAAACACCGAGGGCTCCTTCAGGTGTACCTGTGGGCAGGGCTACCAGCTGTCTGCAGCCAAAGACCAGTGTGAAGGTAGGAGCGTGGCAGTGTGTGGACCACTGTGACTTAAGTTTCAGTCCCCTGGCCTGGAAAATGTGCACACAGTCAAGTGAGTGTGTCCTTGACAAACGACACAGACGATTGATTGCTTTAGAGGGCCAGAAAGCAAGGGACTCAAACTTATGTCAGGAAAGTGAGTGGAACAGGATGGAAAATGTTTACATCTGAAAAGTGTGTCATTAGGGATCAAGCGGTTGGGCATTAATATTCGTAAGAAAAATTACTGCTCTCTAATTCCTTGCTGCAGAAGATCAATTCAGTGGAAAGTTTTACATACCTGGACTCCTGCAACTAGAAGGTCGTTACATCAGTCTGGTGTGTGCTGTGGAATGTTAATGACCTCACCCTTTATGTGTATTCAGCTTTATAAAAGTTTTCCTTTTCCAAGGAATATCGCTAAGGAAGACTTTTCAACAAGGCTGAAATAGTGTCCCCCTCCTACTCAGGGATAAAGTTTGTGAAGTGCAGGACATAGCGAGGATTTTTGGATCCTGCTGGGTTTGACCTTAGACTTAAAAGAAATGTCACTGAACTAAATAAAACATCACTTCCCAATAAATATATACTTCAAGGTATTAAGTTATCACCTGTGACTAAGCATGAGTGTCCAGAGTTCTTGAAATGTCATTTACTTAAGCACAGAATACACACTGTACAAAATCAAGTCATATTCCCATTTACGTGCAACCTTTGAATGTTTAAGAGTAAAATGTCTCCTGAGATGGTGTCATCAGAGACACAGTATATGGCGGCACTACAAAGGCAGCTACCAATATTATTGTCATCTCCCGCTAATCCCTTTCAGAGTGTAGGAAGTGTTTCCAGCGCCTCGCCTAAGAGGGGGCGTATTAGAGCCACACAAGCACACTCACATACACCAGTAGGTAAAGCACTTGGTTCCGGATTCTGTGAGTCCCTCTCAAAGGCTTACGTTTGCATGACTCCTGACCTCAGTTAGCCGAGCATTTATCAAATGCCCACCATGCAGAGAAAATGACAAATGAATGTATCCTAAGAGAGGAGGTCTACACGTCATGGAGGAAGGCTATAATATTCGTGGTCCTTTGTTTTGAAGGGTCTGTGATATCACTGTCAAAGAAAAGTCACATACATGCAGAACCACCCACCAGACTATCAATAGGGACAAGCCAGTGTTGGGTGCAGAATGCTGTGACAACCAGAATGATGCTGTTAACCAGAGTGGGGGAGAGCAGTCACCCCGGGCCCCGGTGGGAACGTGCGTGTTAACTCACAGAATCACGTGGCCAGGAGCAGATAAATATACCCAACCGCTATGAAGAAAGTCTACCAACAAACATGAGTTGAATGCCGGCTAATTGTAAAACACTAGGTCATCCAAGAGATAATAAAGGCTGTGGGAGACGTAGCCCCTGCCCTCAGGAAACTAAAACTCTAACGAAGAAGATTAGATTAATGGTGGATAATTACACCGTAATAAGAAGATCAATCTGGTCACACGCATGCAACATATTACTGTGCCTTTTATGTGTGGATATAACATAACACAGGTATGTGTGTGAGCCCGCACTCAGGATTGTGGTTATAGAACAAATAACCTCCCAGCCAGGGATGTGTGGGTCCGTGTACACATCAGGTGGGCTGAGAGGAGGGAAGGCCACTGGATTTAGCCAGAAAAGCATTATCGATTGACGTGGAGCCAGAAGCCTGATGATTAGGGGGCTGACGGGTAAATTAGCGAGAAGGAAATGATGTGTGTGCGAAGAGGCTTATAATCGGGCCGGAGTACAGGTCCCGTGGCAAATGAAGCTGCGGTGCTTGTTTCCGGTAAAGCTTTAGCCGTAGCCTGCAGCCCTCTCACTGTTGCGATGTTACCGCCAAACCTTTAAAGAAATCCGAGGAGTCCGGCGGGGGCTCACAGATTCCAGCAGGTGTCTGCCGCTCACCAGCGAACAGCGGGATGAATATGGACAGGTTCTTAACACATTGATTAAAATCTTAAATTTATCTGGATTTTTCCCTGTTGGGGGATGAATGACTTTTTTTAGAGGAGAGTTTCATTCACACAATGAAAACTGAAATCTAAGTTAATTAGAAGCCAGAGAGTGTCTGAACTCCTCTGCGTGAAGGATTTAAAATATGTTGAAAGCCTCGCTCCTGCAGCGCTGTGCCCTCTCCCGCCGCAGATGTCGATGAGTGCCAGCACCAGCACCTCTGCGCCCACGGGCAGTGCAGGAACACGGAGGGCTCCTTCCGCTGCGTGTGTGACCAGGGCTACCGTGCGTCCGCCCTCGGGGACCACTGTGAAGGTGAGAAATCGCTCCCGGTCTCACAGTCAGAGAACGCCAGAATCACACGGAAATCTGCATGTTACCCCAGCCCCTGTCCTCTCGCCCAGCCTTTTGACATCACAGTTGAGGACGTGAGGCCCCTGCAAAGTGTTTTCCCCAGGGTCACACAAATAACGCCAAGAGGCTGTCCAAAGCCATCGATTCAGTTTTAGGTCATGGGCATGTTCCCTATTTTGGCTGTTATAACATGTAACCACCTTTCCGAAGTTCAAGATATATTCTAAAAACATCCATTGCCCTAGCTGGTTTGGCTCAGTGGTCGGAGCTTCGGCCCGTGGACTGAGGAGTCCTGGGTTCGATACCGGCCAAGGGCATGTACCTGGGTTGCAGGCTCGATCCCCTGCCCTGGTCGGGCACGTGCGAGAGTCAGCCAGTCGATGTGTCTCTCTCACATCAGTGTTTCTCTCTCTCCCTCTCTCCCCCCCTTCCACTCTCTCTGAAAAGCAATGGAAAAAATAATAACACAGAAATAAAAACATCCATTGCACCAAAAGCCAAACAAAACTGTTTAACTAGCTCGCTCATCATTATTAACATATATGTTTATAAGATACTGTTATGTTCCATGAGAAAGCCTCCTTTGGAATATATTCTCAGCTCTCTCCGTGAAGCCGGGGCTCATTTCCCTACTGCTCTAGGTTATAAATAGGCCTGGAGCCCCTCCAGCTGAGCCTGAGCTCCCTCTGGAGCTCTCCTCGCGCTTCGGCCGCCGATTCCCATCCGGTGCCGTCTCCCACCCTCCCGGGCGGCCTTAGCCGCAGTGACTGAGCTGGGATGGCTCGCACGCCTCTCACAGCTGTGGGAAGGAGAGCCGTCTTCCTTGTTGGCTTTTCTACTTACATGTGTAGTTTTCCTCTGAGAATTCTGGCTAAGACGTTTTCTTACAGTGCTGTCCTGCAGTCCCACTGCCTCCTCTTAGGGTCGGGACCCTAAGTGCTGTGGTCATTCCTGTGTGCAGCTGACTGCGCTCAGCAGCCACTTCGACTCAGATAATGGGGTCAGCTCAGTTGTCCTGGTGATTAGAGGTCCCGGCGTCTCACCCTTCAAAGGCCCCGCCTCTGAGCTGTTCCCTTCCAGGCACAGTGTCTAATTCCCTGCCCGTCTTAGCACCTTCCCCAGCCGCTCAGTCTGGCTGCTCCCTGCTAATCCCTTGCAAAGCCTGAGAGAGAGACTCCCAATTCACTCTGACTTCCTGCGGCCCCTCTCCCTTGGTCACTGCTTTGTGGACCAAATCAGAAAAGGTGGGAAGAAAGGATTTCTTTCCTTGTCAGAATCATTTTATTTTATACATTTGTTCAACAAATATTCATTGTAAGCACAGAACATATAGTAATAAACCAAACCGACAAAAATCCCTGCCCTCATAGAGCTTACATTCTAGTGAGGGAGCTAACAGTAAACTTGGTCAGTAAAGTATCTAGTTTGTAAAATGGCAGTAAATTCAGAAATGCCTATGCCTTGATTATGATGGTGGTCACAAGAATGTATCTACATTTGTCCAGACTCATTGAAATGGACTCTTAAAATTAGATGCAGTTATTGTATGTAAATTATATTTCAGTGAAGTTGGAAAAACACGCTGAAGAAAAAGTGGCAACTCACCTAATTGGCTACAGAGCCACATCAGCTGTGTTTTATGTTTTAGGATCAGTATTCAGAAACACTTTAAATCTGGGTGAGCATCATACTAACTTGTTTTTCTTCTGATAGAATGAAATTATGAAGTGCTTATTTTTCTTTTATTTCCCCATGACTGGCACAGAAGCCAGTTAATTGGTTGATTGGGTTCGATGAAGAAAATTTAATTTTGTGCCTCCATATTTTTAAAAAATATGTTTCTATTGATTTTTTTTTAAGAGGAGAGGACGGGAGAGGGAGAGGGAGAGAAACATCCATGTGAGAGAGAAACGTTAGTCGGCTGCCTCCTGCACGCCCCCTACTGGGGATGCAGCCTGGGCCTGGGCCTGGGCCTGACGGGAATCGAGCCTGGGAGGCCCGGGCTGGTTCCTCCAGACAGCAGGGAGAACTAGACTGCAGCAGTCTCCACATTTACTTCCTCCTGGAGCTTCTCATACATTTTAGCAGCAATCAGAGTTATTTGCAAGAAATGCCACAATAGGCCATATTCTGAGAAATCAAAGGTTTGGTTCCTTAGCTTTCGTCACTGCTAATAATTTAAATTCTCTACAGACAGAAGAAGAGGGACTCCTGGAGTGTGTTAGAAGTAATGAGCTCTGACTAGAAAGTTCTGCGTAGCGTTCATGCGGTGGGAGGGTCATTAATTGTCTCACATGCTCAGGGTCAAAAACTCACTGCTGGTTATGTAAACCGTTTTCAGTTGCACATATGCGATAGATGTGCATATTGAAAAATCCAGGCAGCATCAGACCTGTCCGTGACAGCTGCTGAGTCAGGGACTGCAGTGACGCTTTGATCTTGCTGAGCCCCTTTCTGCCAAAAGCCCC